GATTGTCCAAGGGCCCTCTGTTCGCCTCAGATGGCCAGCTTTTTCCTCAGAGTGCCTGATGACCTCATAGAGCCCATAGTGGCCTGATATAGCCTTCATATCACCTCAGAGGGCCCTCTGTTGTAAGGTTCAAGTGGCCTTCTCAGAGGACTCCGACTGCCCTGTGACTGACAATTGTCCACTCTTATCCCTCTTTTGGGTGACCTTTTCCGACACCCAAGCCAAAATACGATTTTGGGACACTGACTCCGAAGGCCAGTTGATTTTCAGAGAGCCCTCTTTGAGGTGGATGTTAGGGCCCTCTGTTCGCCTCAGAGGGCCCTCTGGTGGATTTAGACTTCAGAGGACCCTATTTTGGCATCAGAGGGCGCCTCTCAGTGGCATCAGAGGGCCCTCGGAGGCCTCAAATGGCCCTATTACATCTCAGAGAGCTGTCTTTGACCTCAGAGGGATCTTTTTTACTTCTTTGTGGTGTCCAAGGGGGCCCTCTGGCCTTTGTTCGCCTCAATGAGCCTTAAGGGGTCCTCCGATGACTTCCAAGGACCCTCTTTGATCTCAGAGGGCCTGATGACCTCATAGGGCTCATGGTGGTCTGACATAGCCTCATATCACCTCAGAAGGCCCTCCAGTGGCCTCAGAGGGCACTTTGTGACCTTTGAAGGCCCTCCATTCGCCTTAGAGGGCCCTCTTTGATCTCTTCGATCTCAGAGGGCCCTTTGTCCACCTCAGAGGGCCCTTTGGTGACCTCCAGGGACCATCTTTGATCTAAGAGGGCCGTCTGGTGGCCTCATAGGGTACCTTGTGGCCTGACATTGACCCTCGTACCTCAGAGGGCCTTCTGTTCGTCTTAAGGGGCCCTCTGCTGGTCTTAGAGGGCCCTTTGTGTGCCTGGGAGGCCCCCCTGAGTACCTGAGAGGGCCCTCTGTGTGTTTGAGAGGGCCCTCTGTGTGCCTGAAAGGGTCCTCTGTGTACCTGAGACGGCCCTCTGTTTGCCTGAAAGGGTCCTCTGTGTAGATAGATAGATAGAATAAATTTATTACATTAATCAGAACACGTACAATTCACGTGTTCAATCAGAACAATACAATACAATACAATTCATACCTGTGTGCCTGAGAGGGCCCTATGTGTGTCTGAGAGGGCCCTCTGTGTACCTGAGACGGCCCTCTGTTTGCCTGAAAGGACCCTCTGTGTGTCTCAGAGAACCCTCTGTGTGCCTGAGAGAGCCCTATGTGTGCCTGAGAGGGCCCTCTGTGAGCCTGAGAGGGCCCTCTGTGTGCCTGAGAGGCCCTATGTGTGCCTGAGAGGGCCCTCTGTGAGCCTGAGAGGGTCCTCTGTGTACCTGAGAGGGCCCTCTGTTTGCCTGAGAGGGCCCTCTGTTTGCCTGAGAGGGCCCTCTGTGTGTCTAAGAGGACCCTCTGTGTACCTGAGAGAGCCCTCTATGTGCCTGAAAGGGCCCTCTGTGTACCTGAGAGGGCCCTCTGTGTGCCTGAGAGGGCCCTCTGTGTACCTGAGACGGCCCTCTGTTTGCCTGAAAGGACCCTATGTGTGTCTCAGAGAACCCTCTGTGTGCCTGAGAGGCCCTATGTGTGCCTGATAGGGCCCTCTGTGAGCCTGAGAGGGCCCTCTGTGTGCCTGAGAGGGCCCTCTGTGAGCCTGAGAGGGCCCTCTGTATGCCTGAAAGGGCCCTCTGTGTACCTGAGAGGGCCCTCTGTGTGCCTGAGAGGGCCCTCTGTGTGCCCGAGAGGGCCCTCTGTGTGCCTGAGAGGGCCCTCTGTGTACCTGAGAGGGCCCTCTGTGTGCCTGAGAGGGCCCTCTGTGTGCCTGGAAGGGCCCTCTGTGAGTCTCAGAGGACCGTCTGTGTGCCTGAGAGGGCCCTTTGTGTGTCTCAGAGCAGACTTGTAAACGACTCTGAGTTGATTCATGAATCGACTCAGAATCAAACCGTTTTTCGATGAGTCATGAGTTGATTCGAATCACTTCATCGAGGAACTTGATGAGTCATGAGTTGATTCGAATCAATTAAATTTAACATCATGAGTCATTTGATGAATCGATTCAAATTTTCAGACTCAAACAAAGAATCGACTCAAAAAAAATTTGAGTCGTTTACAAGTCACCATCAACACACTAATAATCAATGCTAGATCACCCCCTCAGCTTTAGCCATCACTTAACTCCATATTTCAGACTTACAAGAGCCAGGCACAGGCGCCTAATGAGCCAAAAGCATTTGGCAGTTGGTAGGTACTTAGTCTTACCAAACCAAGTGCCTGCTACACTACCTAGGTACCTACATTTTACATGTCAGAAGTCAGAATTGACACCTGCGGCTGCCTCCCCTTCTCCCAGTCCCAATTTGGTCCCAATAATCAATCAACAGCATAAGAGTTTGGGCGTCTATTGAGTCAAATACGCCCAAACTACCTATAGCCTATAAACTACCTATAGGCTATGCTATAATATAAATAAACTCACCTATAAACCACAAAATTGCGATGCTCAACTGCCAATAAACCACAAAATGCACATTTTTCCATGAAATAGAAGTTTAAAAAGAAACTTGTTTTATGACATCATAGAATCTTCAGAATAATGTAAAGGAGCGGCTTTGAAATATTTTATCAGCGATCTCCATTGGCCTAAAATATGTACTATGAGTGACGTCATGAATTCGAGAATAGAAGGTTTTTTTTTTTAGTGGCCCTAACTTACGTTACCGGCCTCGCGAGGAGGGCGGCGACCTAACTACGCCGCGCAAAAGAAACCGGCCGTCCTAACTAAGACCGGTGGCCACTTTACTGCAAGACAACATGGGAAAACCCATATCCATGTACTATGCCATGAATATGGGGAAAAAACCCATGAATTTACGTTAAGACACATAAATGACAGCGAGACTTACCGTTAAATTGATGTTTGTGAGGGGAGGGAAGGAGGAAGTTTGTAAATGGTAGGGTTACGATGTTACGATGAAAGTTGGATGATAGGAATGGTTTGAAGGGTGGGGGATATGTCGCTGCCGCTGTTGAAGGCCGATTGCTGTACCCGGGCCTGTGGTCGCCCAAACCCGGCCGCAGCCGCTGTTCAGCGGCCGGGTCCGTGACTGACGAATCCTTGGCCGCTGCTCGTCGTTGTGCAGTGGGTGAAGGGACAGTCCCAGAGAATGTGGACAGTCCCTTGCAATGATAGCGAGGATGAAGAAAAAAAAGACGCTTTTCGCATTCGTTCGGCGACTATATAGTCCTTGTAATGCGGTATGCCTAAGGTCAAGTAGTGGTGCATACTTTACAGTTTGTCGGAATAAGGTGAGTTTAAGACAAAATCAAGTACTAGATCAGTTAGTGCTGGATCATCTCCGAGAAGAGTAGGAAGATCGTTTCTGAGGCGATATTTTGTAAGGTGGTTGTTGATATGTGGTGAAAGTCATAGAATGTTTTAAGAAAACTACATTAATGGCGCAGTTGATAACTTTCACGTCTGAATCTCGTGACAAATTGGCCGGATGACGTTGCCCGAATTGCACCAATGACAATTTATTTTTACCAAAAGAGCCACTTGGTCAGTGCTCCGGTGCTCCTGATATCGATTAATATTCAATGACGTCATTTTTAATCTAAAATTGCTCAAGATCATATCTAGCCACTCATGCAAGGTCATGGCCTCCTCGCGGCCCATGGAGTCCTTGATGCTGTTGATGCTGAATGTTTCACAGGTGGGATTAATCCTATTTTTGAGGTTGTACTGTTTGAATAATTTTATCTGATAAGTAAGAAGTAGTAACATTTGTCTCATTATCATGTAGAAAAAGTTTGATTAAAAAAAAACATGAATGCCTCTTGGAACTTGTGCTTTTGAATTTTCAAATAAGACTTTCTAGGTAATAATAAGAGATAGGTTACTATGCTACTCCTTAGTCCTTACTTATATTATAATTGTCTCTCAGAGTTACTTACAATTTATCTGACATTGCACTGTTGACTGTTGAGTGTTGAAGATAGGTAGGTGTAAGGTAGGTACCTATGTACCTAGTCCTACTAGGTAGCTGCTTGAATCTTTGGTCAAGGCTACTATGCTGCTTAATACAATTGTGGTATGCGGCATATTCATTTTATCAAAGCTTTGAGTCAAATAATCAACAAATGCCTATAGTGAGTCATGGGTTGAATGAAATAAGTTCAATAAAAATGTCGTGTGAGTCATGAGTTGATTTGAATCGATTCATCAAAATGTGTGAGTCATGAGTTGATTCGAATCATTCCGTTGGCTAGTTGCTTGAGTCATGAGTTGATTCGAATCATTTTATCGAGGAACTTGATGAGTCATGAGTTGATTCGAATCAATTAAATTTAACATCATGAGTCGTTTGATGAATCGATTCAAATTTCCCAGACTCAAACAAAGAATCGACTCAAAAAAAAATTTGAGTCGTTTACAAGTCTGTCTCAGAGGGCCTTTGTGTGCCTGAGAGTGCCCCCTGTGTGCCTGAGAGGGCCCCCTGTGTGCCTGAGAGGGCCCCCTGTGTGCCTGAGAGGGCCCTCTGTGTGCCTGAAAGGGCCCTCTGTGTACATACCTGAGAGGGCCCTCTGTATACTTCACAAGGTCCCTCATTGGCCTAAATGTGTCCTCTAGGCTCTAACAATCCTCAAAGGGTCCCTAAAAGAGTTTTACAATACTTTTTCTTTTAGCGAATAAAATGGGAAGTGGTCAAAAGGGCCCTCGAAGTCATTTCAATTTTTTCCGTGTTATAAAAAAACTTTTTTTCTAGGCTCCAGGGGGGACCCTAGGACCCCCAGGATCCCCCCTTGGATACGCCACTGAGTAGGTACCTATATAATTACTTAAACTAACTACGTAGGCAATAACGTCAGAAAAATACGATAGGCATATTGATGGTCACGATTACAAGAAACATCAACGATAAAATCACAAGGATGGTGAAGTGAATTGTACTTGCAAGGTAGCCACATAGCAGGGGCGATCGAGTTTGCAACACTTACCCAGTTTTGGCAAAGTTGGCCCAGTAGCGCATCATCTTGACCGAGAGCTTGCGGTCATCTGCTGAAAACTTCTTGGTGGGATTGAGCGGTTCTCCGAAGACAAAGGAGATTTCGTCACCGTGCAGCACACCCATCCACTTGGGCCACGGTGACGCGGCAGAGCGCTGCCGGAAGTGGTACATGAAGACACCGTTGCCGGTGCCGGCATATGTTTCGGCGAAGTCGTTAACACCGCAAAGAAACTGATAATCACCGACCATTTTATCGACAGCGTCCAAGTTTGATTCGGGGTCCTCAGGATTGACCCAATTGGTGTACTCAAAGGCAATTGCTTGGCGAGCCGTTGTCGTGAAGTAGGGGTTCGTTTGGCTTACGGATTCGATAAACTGCTCTCGTGTTAGCACAACATTCTCTTCGAGTTTCATGTAGTCGGTCAGGTAATATACGAGAAAATAGTTTGCTTCCTCGCTGACGCTACCTGCCAATATGTTTGTGCGTTTGTAGTTGCCGGTTTTGAGCGATATGTGCGGATCCTCCACGAGAAACGTGCCATCCACCACCGGCACGAAGGCAAACTCGCAAATGCCCGTGGTGAAAAACTCCGAATGCACCAAGTCGCTCGGATGGACTTGGCGTAAACACTCGATGAGGCTCTCCACGTCCTGCTTGTCATACTCGTGACACTTCGTAGCCTCAGCCAGGCGCAGGCCCCGCTTCTTGGCCTCCTCACGGTCGAGTACCGCCCAAGGATTGGTGGCCGTCGACGACTGCATGATGGCCTGGCTGAAGAGCGGTCTCGACAGCGGCGACAGCAGGTGCATGCTGATGCTGGCCGAGCCGGCAGACTCTCCGAACAGCGTGACGTTGTCGGGGTTGCCGCCGAACGCGGCGATGTTGTCGTGCACCCACTGAATGGCCATGAGCTGGTCGAACATGCCGGCGTTACCGGGCGCCGCCGGGTGGTCCATGAAGAGGAACCCGAGCGAGGCCACGCGGTACTGAATCGACACCACGATCACGTTCTCCTCCGACGAGAGGATCTTGGGATCGTACACGTCCAGCGTGGACGAGCCGCTGTAGTAGGCGCCGCCGTAGATCCACAGCATCACCGCCGCCGGACGCTTCGGCTTCGGCCGCGGCAGTACCACGTTCAGGTACAGACAGTCCTCGCTCAGCGGCGTGTTGGCGTTCCACATGGTGCTGCCGATGAAGTCGTTGAAGAAGGTGTCTTTGATCTGCCAGCAGGAGTTGGGCAGTGTGCGCGCCTCCCGGACGCCCTGCCAGGCCTGCATGGGTCGCGGGTGGCGGAAGCGCAGGTTGCCCAGTGGTGGCTGTGCGTAGGGGATGCCGAGCCAGGCGTCCACCTGGCGACCGGTGGCCGCAGTCAGCGTGATGCCCTTCAGCAGACCGTTGTCAGTCCGCACCACCAGGTCGCCGTGCTCCCGTTCCGCGAAGTTGTTGTTCTCGCCGGGGAAGGTCATGTCGGGGTCGCCGAACTGCGGGTAGGCCTGCGACCGCGGTGTCAGCAGAAGGAAAAGTGCCAGCTGAAGCGCGCCTGAGAGCGAACCTGTAAAGCAGGGGAGGGAACGTTACTCCCGTTCTTCCAGGTCGGAGGGAGAAGTTGCAGAAACGATCCGGGAGTGCGAGGAGGGGAGAAAGCAAGGATGGTGAAGAGAACGAATAAAAGGGGAAATAGGGAAATAAAACATACGGTGCAAAATTATTTTAATGCCTCCATTTCACTTCTCCAGAAATCACGTCAAGCTGCATTCTGCATTCGCACTTCGCAGTACCTATTGCTCGGCAATTGCGCATGACGTTGTTGTGTCTCTGGTAATGTTATGAATATTACTCGGTGGCTTAACTTTCTATCTTCTATCCGTTTTCTTCTTGGTAGGCTGTTACTATTGTATTGTTATAGACAATTTACCTAATTAAAGTTTTGCTCATAAATGATCAAAGACACCAATCTGAAAAAGTCGATTGCAAGACAGTTGCACTTGACATCAAAGTGGTAAAAGGCATAACCCACAAGTAAGTAACTATTGGGCAATAAAGCTCGTCAGTGCAACCTCCGCAACTGGATTATATGCAGCACACTAATTCAATGTTCCTCAAGACAGCCCATCTAATGACCAGGAACTCGAAAATCCGCAATTAATGTTACTGATCCGTCAATTCTGCCAGATCTGTCTTGCACGACACCTCAAGCGGCTCATGCCACTCGACGGCTGGCGAACGGCTGGCGACTTTGCAAGCGCCTTCCTCCGCACTTCGCCGCAACCATCGAGCGCTATTGCGGTTGTCGGATCACGGATGCGGCGCTATATCATATATGAAAGGATTCATTTGATCAGGGGGATACATCACTTTGAACTTAATGCGTAGTTACAATTTCAAGTTAGTCTTTCTTTGTATAGTTATTTTGTTCGGTCGCTGACAGGTCTATGTATCTGTGTCTCTGGGGACACACCAGGCTCCGTCTGGCCACCGTCAGCGTCCTGCCCGTGCCGCTCCTAATTAAGCTGTGCCTGCTTCACCGAGGCGCGCCGGCCGGCCGGCCCTCTGTTTTCGTCTGCACGTGCCGGCCCAAATGCCCCCCGGGTGGGAGAGCTGATGAAGGGCCTATCGATCATGCTCGGAGAGCAATATCCAATAGGGATCCTGATTCATGAATAGTGAATTACCTCGAGATGTAGCTCAGTTGAGATTCGATAAATTAAATAATAAACTTAAAACGGGAAACTAAGCGGTAGCAGTACCCATATGAAGTGCCTCTTTCCCAAAAACTAAAATAATTTCATATTGACACAAATAAATACTTCATTCGAGTTCCAACTTCCTATACGACCGTTATGTCGTGCACTACCACCGTTTGAATGCAAGAATGCATAGGTGGGGTATTAAAATGTTGATGTAAGATCTTATCTTCTTATTAATGTATGAACGGTTATATATTTAACAAAATAATTTTGATTAACAAAAAGTAAATCGATAAATGATATTGTTGATACCAGTGATACAGATTTCAGACAGACCTTTAAACCGCTCGAGAAAGTTTGCAAAGTAGGCACATAATTGCACGAAACACCATAAACTCATGCGAGTCCCTTAGATGATATTGTTTTTATCTCCCTTTGAGGTGGGCGTCATCTATTTGATAAATTCATACCAAAACATTACACCAGTAAAACGCCTTTTGGGCGAAGAACGAGCGAGCGAGATAGTGAGCCCTGCACGTGCGGAAGGGCGAGAGGGTACTTCCAACGGGCTTGTGCAAAGCACCCTTCTAACCGGTCGCTAGCGGTGTACCAAATTTGAACGCAATCGGCCCAGCCGTTCCTGAGATCTGGAAGCGGCATTCTGCACGTGCGCACGTGCAAACGGGGTCCAAAATGACTTTTGCACGGCACCCTACTAACCGGTCCCCAACCGTGTACCAAATTTGAGCGCAATCGGTCCAGCCGTTCTCGAGATCTGGAAACGCCCCCTGCACGTGCGCACGTGCAGTAGCACCCTAACCGCAACACATGGGAATGCATTGCCTGGTGGGTGCCTACCTGTATGCCAAGTTTCAGCGAAATCGCCCCAGTAATTACCGAGTTACCGAAATGGGAACAAATTTGGCACCTCTTATTGTTGTATTTTGCACGTGCAGTGGGGGTCACTCACATAGATGAAGAGTATCCGACCTTTGGTAGAAGGGATGCAGCTACCCTATAAAAATGACCGCAAGACAATCGCTCAAGCCGCTGCTGAGATATGGGCCTCTCAAAATCATTAATTTTGCAAAACTGCTTGAACACCCTTGACTTTTCACGTGGCACGTGCCACGGCGGTCACTGAGATGTATCAAAAGTAGTCAATTACGGGGTAGAAGGGATGGGGCTACCCAGCAAAGAAGACCGCAGGCCAATCGGTCCAGCGGTTGCTGAGATATAAGCCTCTCAAAAGCGTTACAGGCCGGGCCGGGCCGGGCCGGGCCGGGCCGGGCCGGGCCGGGCCGGGCCGGGCCGGGCCGCTCATACTGAGATTTTTCCGTTATATTGAAAAGACTTCGCTTCGCTCGCTGCGCTCGCTCGCTCGTAATAACTGCCGTAAAAACAGCAGGTAGTTTTTGTTTGGGAAAATCGTGCAATATTTGTAATAGGGGACTAATACTTTGGCAGACCAAAACCGGGGTTTCTACACCAAATCTGTGATTGCTGTCTCACCAAATATCGGTATGTCTTGCACCAAATAAATTACAGGTTATTTGAACCAAAACCAGAATTTCTGCACCAATCTAGTCTTTTCTACTAAATTCTGGAAGGTTGCCAGGTATTTACGTTTATGTGTGGATATCTGCACCAAAAAGCGTAACAATGCACCAAATGTAATTTCGCCGCACTAATTGATTAAATGATTAGGTAATACACGTCTTTGCATATGAGTTCGGCAGAGCCGCCATCCCGCATCACCTTCTTGCTTAGAGTTCATCATGGCAAGAGCAGCTTGTTGATCAGCCAGATCAATCCAGATGGTCTTCCAGGCAATGCCTTAAGGCCTCGATGCTTTTTGGCACTTGGCTGCACTCTGCCATCCTGATCCTGACCACTACTACTAACGCGAAACTGAGCGGGAGTGGTCTCGGATTGAAACTCGCTCAAGGAGTCATCCGATTCCTCCGTTGCTGGCTTTCCTCTACAAGACAACTGTAAGGCTAGAGTCTGTAGGAGAATTGATTTGATTATACACAGGTTCGCACTATTCCCCGAATTTCGAAAAAGTCCGCGCTGGGAGACACAGCTCAACGAACGACGCGACACTCAACGACCAAAGGACCGAAGCAAAGGTTAAGGGGACACTACCGAGCCGAGGACGCTCCATTTCGAAGCGTCGCGGCACGCCGAGTCGCTGCCAGCGCTGCCAGAAATTCTGCTGAAATTATACCATTTGATCCAGTAGATAAAACATTCCTACTAAAATTGGTGCATTCTTGCATGTATTTGGTGTAAGGAATTCACTTTTTGGTAAATTTGTACTTCATTTGGTAGGATTTTCCCTAAAAATGGTCGAGTTGCCTGAAAATTCCTATTTTGGTGATAAATTTTTCTTATTTTGGTAAAACAAATTCCTGGTTTGATGCTAACTTACCAATATTGGTTTAAGATGTCACATTTGATGAATATTTACCAGATTTGGTGCATTTTTACACTTTTTGGATCTGACAAAAAATGGAAGCCTTTGTAATAGCTATTCAGCGTTTCCCATTTCCCCCTGCTCAAACTGTGGCTGACATCTGGCACGGGACCTTCTTCTGTCAGAACTGTCTCGATCTACGGCCCGCTGTCTGACAGGCTGACAGCCCGGTGATAACGTGCTCGACCAGGTGCGTTAGTGGCTGCAGTTATCATGAGGTGCAGCGCGTCGGGGCGTGATCGGTCGATACCGTGTGTCCTTGATAACGGCGGTAGCGGGTTAGTGGCACCGGCTGGCCATCGATCCGAGCGCCGCCCGGCCGACGACGGCCCGAGCGGCGGCCCGCGGCTAGGTGCGTCGCTAAATCGTCGCTCCGTGCGTCGGCTCCGAGGCTCTGAGTGCGTTGGCGGCCTTGCCCTGCGGCTCTGCGCTTTCTTCCAAATTTATTCGGGCCCGGTCAGCACTCGACAGCGTCCAGCAAACACCAGTTCACCTTACAGTACCTATAGCAGTGCTCAACGCTCGCAGTAACCTCCATACACTGGTGTACGAGTATGTGTGCGGTTTACCGCTATTTGTCCTTAGTGTAACGTTGCCGGCGCCTATAAAACCTGGTTTATAGACTTGACTTACTACCTATGAAAACATCAAATGATATTGATCATTGAGTAACATTGAAGGACATACACGTCTGTTATAAGCGCAACGTGCTATGTTGACCCAAACTTTCCATGTAGTCAAGGAGTCTGTCCGTTAATTTCATGCAAATCTTAATATCTTTAAAAAAAATCCAATGGGAAACTTGACTCACGAGGCACGACGCCATATTATTGTTTGTGAAAATTGTTAAAGCCTTGCTTGAGGTAGATCACATCCAGTTTAATTATGAATTTAATTTATATTAAACTAAACCGTATGCGATGTTCAGTCTTACAAATCAGCAAAAGTCGAATGAAGTGAAACATTCGACCCAATTAAAATAAACATTACTAAATGCACGATTTAGACGCATAATGAAACACATGCACTTAACAGATAAGTATAGCTGGTCAATAACCAGCCTAAAACAAAATTCCGATTGGATTGTTATATGTTTCTTGACAGTGGCGCGGGAACCGGGGGGGCTAGGGGGGGCTGAGCCCCCCCAGCTTTTCGGCTGGAGGGGCTCGTAATGTATTTGAGCCCCCCCCCCCCCCCAGCTGGAGGAATCGAAATCGGAAATCTACCAACATAATTTCATAGATTCATACATAGGCGTGGGAACCGGGGGAGGGGGCAGTGGGGGAAGCTTGCCCCCACAACTCTGCGGCCGTGGGGGCGGTGCCCCACAACGTTTCATGAGGCCAGGAACCGTTGGGCAGCTTGTCCTCCCCAAATTAGGGGTTGTGGGTCACAAAGGAAGAAAGCATGTAAGTGAAAACTCCACCAATTTCACTGGCTCGGCAACTCATTTGGCAGATTAAAACCTTTACTCCAGGTTGCCAAAACAGTAGTTTCTTCACTCAGCTGAGACGGAATGCCTCACTTTTTGAAAATATTTTCGTTTTTTTTTTGTTGTTGAAAAGGCCAAGGTCTGAAAAATAAGTGGCCTAAAACCGGTGAGAAAACTAGATTTGGGGGTACCCTAGGTTGATTTCTATTATGGTTCAGCCCCCCCAGTCTGGAAGAAGTTCCCGCGCCACTGTTTCTTGACAACGACCTCGATGCGAAGGTCGAAAATTCGAAACGAAAACAATAAACGACTAGTAGCCGAAAAACGTTCCTACTTTGTAATGTCTAGTCGTAAAAGCTTAAAATCATATAAAACAAAATTAATCAAACGTTTTATAAAATGCATCGTGCATTGAGTTCAATCAGAAAATGTTCCCAATCCATTATTATGAGTAGACAGCCACACAATGACAAAGCTTTCCTCGCTATTTCTCATATTGTAATGACTAACAGCTCCTTATTATCACATGCAATGGTGCTTCAATAAATCAGGCATAATTCAAAGGTAATTTAAACCTGAATGCACCATAAAGGTGGCAGCAGCTCAAAGCGAACAGCTGATATGATATTGAAAAGGCATACCTAATGCACCCATGCAGCGAGCGCAGCTGCGCGTAGTGCGTACGTCATTCATGGAGTAATTAATGTTAATTGCAGTGGCACTTAAGTCAATGTAAATCCTGCGCTTAGCTAGCATCCTCAGTGGCTACCGACAAACTTCAGGCTAAGCCAGAATATGCATAACACCTGGACTGCACTGTCCGTTGTAAGTTATATCAGTCCGGGAGGGAGAATTAAGATTGATACTCGTAGATCAGTGGTGCATTGCTGCAGCTATAACGAGTAAGCGAAATACAATCAACTAAAACATAAGATTATTCTACAATAGCCGTTTTCACGACGGCCATCTGGTACACATCTGGTGCACATTTGGTGCAGATCAGGTGCAGATTTGGTCAAATCAGGTTCAGTGTGTCTCTTAATATCGGCTAGGGTAACACTCGTGTTTACATAGGGTTCCCTTAATCTTCCCCTATTTGTCTCTTAAATGTCCCTTATAAAGGAATCCTCTGTCTCCTTTACCTCGCTTCACTACAAATATGGCGCAACTAAGTCATTCTAGAAGCAGTTTGCAATTGTTACTTACCTTCAGGGCTTTCCCAAATAGCTTCCAGACTAGACACTGAGGTAAAAGTGATAGCACATGAAAGCTCAAAGCAAGAAATATCAGAAAACTATCTGGCATTTAACATACTTTAAACGGCTGAGCTATTATTCAAGTAGGTGTAATCACCTCCACGGCAATATCAGAACACCGCACCTGTCGAATTTCCGCCTTGACTTTCTGCCGTTTATGCCTTGGTTTATGCGTTAATGCCACTTAAAAATCCTCAGTCGGCGCACGTGCGCTTGCCGAGTCGGGGACCACCAGTCGGACGATTCGGAACTGCCGGCCAATCAGCACGCCGCTTTTGTGATGTGATAGTTTGAGAACCACTGGATATGGTAGCGTAGCAGCTTTTGGAAAGGCGCTACGCTACCAAATCCTCCCCTATTTGTCGCTTAAAGAGGGAATTGAAGGGCAGGATAAAATTACTTCAAAATATGAATTGTTGAATTTCGAGTATTAAATAAGCCCAATTTATATTGTTTACAGCATAAACGATGCTTAGTATGCTTCTAACAATAGCGTCCATAGCAACGTTACACGCGAGCGCTATGATGCCTAAAATTCGATCTGAAAATAGGGGAGAAATAGGGGAAGATTAAGGGAACCCTATGGAAACACGACTAATAATTGCTTATATGCCTGCTTTGTCATATTATCAGAGAATATCATCGATGAAAACACTGAAATAAATTCATAAAATACAGATATTTGCTGTAAAAGAGACTAGGTGCAGATTTGGTCAAATTAGGTGCACTCGCCGGATAGCCCGTCGTGAAAAAGGCCAATACAAACAAGTGCACCTGCCTGTGAGTTTCGTGGCCAGTGAGCACAGCCCCGTGCAGTGCAACAAACTGTAACAAACGCACCGCCGCGGGCTCCGCTCAACTCTGGCGCGGTAGGCTGTATATACGGCTGTACTCGCGTGCACTGCGGGATAGTCTACCTACCCGCCAGACCCGCCGGCATGTTCATTTTTTGCCGCGCTTCCGGGCGTTTCTGAGCAATAGTATTGACATAGAGGTACCAAAATATAGCATTGTCATTATAATTTTACGTTATAGGTACCTACCATCGCCTTTCAAACGAAATGATAATAAAAATAAGATAATGTAAAACGAACAACCATCTGACGTCTAATATCGAATGCATTGTAATGGATAAAACGTGGTGAATAAACAAATGACATGGTCAGGACCGGTCTTACAGTCTGGCCAACTTGCCGTAGTGGGGCGATGTGGCGCGGTTCGTTCTTGAACAGTCGTACCGCTTTTTTTTGGTTAGGCTCTTTCGGTCTGACGAAACCATTTCAGGGCCGGAAGGACGATAGGAGTTAGGAGGAGACATTGGTCTGAGCGAGCACCTTGGTAAGTCGCCGGGGCTGAGCCCGTCCATATAAGGACGGGCCGACCAGCACCCCATCCCCAGCACTCACCACACCCGGCTACGGGCGAGCTCTTGCGGGCACTCCGGCATGGGACAAAGTTGTCCGTCCGGCCCAGAACAGGGGGTAGAGGTGTAGGGCAGAAGGATTTGAATGTCTTGAGGATGGAAATGAGTTGAAATGACGGAACGGTGCGTACCGCTATGGTATACCGTATACGAGTCTCTGTCCCCAACTGTGCTATTATGATTATGCGGAGCTGCCGTATAATCCGAAGATAGTCAGGGCCAAGAAATCCCAGATATACCTATAGAAGAACACACAAAATAAAACAAGTCATGACTGCTCATAACTAATTAAGGTGAGCATACTTATAGTTTCTCACGCCCGTCGCTGGGCTTGAATTGGAGGCTTTCATCGTGCGGCTCGGTGAAAAAAGTTAGTACGTATGCAACAAAAATTAAACGGCTGCAAGATAATAACTTGAGCAAAAATCACTTTTTTGTTCCGAGCAGGCTTTCGGTCTAATGAAACACTTGCAGCGCTATCAGCAACGGGCGTCGAGACGAGAGGATACGGGTTTACGGCTGAAGACATTGGACGGACGGTTGGCTGACCTCAAAGGCAGAGACGCAGTGGAACTGGTGAGACGGAGGTGTAGAGACGCAGTGGAACTAGTGAGACGGAGGTGTAGAGACGCAGTGGAACTGGTGAGACGGTGTTTCGTCGTATCAGTCTCCCCTTCACTCAATCAGTGATAAATGGAGTTTTCACCCTGGAGAGAGTGTTCTCCAATTAATCAGCTTTCACAACCAACTCGTCTCGTGGAGGTGAGCATCCTCCAGACAAGGTAGTGTGCGCCAGGATGCGATTGTGAATGAGCTAGTCATGAGGAAAGCAAGGACGGGTGAATAAAACCATTAAACCAGAATTCAATGAGGTTATGTGCGTATGCATCAAAAAGATCACATCTAATCGCTATATTTTGGTATAACTACTAAATCTACGCCTAGGGACAGTCATGAAAGACAACAGAGGACAATGCGCACGGATGGCCCACCTGTGAGGGCGGCCATGGTGGCTGTCTGGAGGCGGGTCGTCCGGTAGGCGCTGCCGGCTGGCGGCCCTCGCACCGCGCCACCCACCGCGTCCACCTGCCGGCGTCGGCCGCGTCACTAACGATCCGATCCGCGGCGCCGGCGACGGGCGGCCGCCGGCAGCGCCGCCCGCCGGCCGACGGACGCAGCTCGTCGATACACACGGCCGGCGGCGACTGGCAGCGTGCCAGCGCCCCGCGGCCGGATGAGGTCGGGTCGGGTCGGGTCGGGTCGGCACCGCTCGGCGACTTTCTGTCGCCGTTCATGACGCTGAGGTGGCGCGCGGTGTCCCCAGCTGGACGGTGGAAGAAAATCGATGCCGGCCTGATTGCGGCCCGCTGCAGCCGCCCACTGCCCCAGTGAAGTCGTCCGTCACATTCGCTGCATTGCTAGCCGGTCGGCGGGCCGGTGCACCGGTGGGGGCGACGCGGGTCGATTCGCGGTCACGTTCACCAAATCGATCCACCGGGAGCGCTCGGTCAGTGGTACAGTGGGGCGGCGGTGGCGAGGGACGGCGGTCGCGCTGTCCCGGACTACTCGGCGCTGTTCCCCAGTATCTCAGTGGGATGGATGATCGATTGACAGGATGGACAACCGAGCCAAGAGAAACAGATCGAGACGGTACACCGTTTCTCTTGCAAAATTACTCCGGAACCACAATCTGTGAAACAGTTTAGCTGATAAATTTGGCTTGTAGCTGAATAACAATGTCACCAAATTAAATGTATACATGGCGTGTACATACATGTGCTTATTTCACGTTTATTTCAGCATTATGCGCACACAAACATGCATGCCACTGACCTTTGTTTTACATAAACAGCAAAGCTTTAGTTTTCAAGAAAGGACAATGCCACGTCTAGCTTGATTAACTTTTATTTTTATCATAGGTACCTGTGCTGTTCACCCCTGTGCTCCTCTGACCTGACCTGGGCTGAGCCTATGTACTGTGTAGCGTCAAGCTACGACTCGCCCATGCTGTATGACAGTGTGATAGCTTCAAACCATAGTCCGGATCACTTGGGTGCGCCGCCAGCGAGAGCCGGCGCTGAACCATTTTTTTTTTTAACCAATAAATCAGAAGGGGCGGTGCCCACCTCCCACTGAGATGACACGGCACGATGTAAAACAGTCTGGGTTTTAAAACAGTCTGGGTCTAAAAGGAGGAACGGATGAACACCGGGATAGACATTCAACGACGAACAACGACAACCAAACGGTGTCGTCACAACAATTAGTGACAATTGATTGAATTATATCTATATATGTGAAAACATCCATCGATGCGAACATCACAAATGCATCCACTTAGCTCCTAAAACATACATGTGTGGTGTGCAAGATATTTTCACCTTGTGATGCGCTCCTTTTGGTATGCTTTGCGTCAATTTGTCTTATATCACTGATGTTGGTCTAACCGGATGACACTTATCATTCCATCGAAGCAAGTCAGTAGACACAGTTTGACTATTGAGATACGATTAAAAAGTCGCAAAAATGCAGTAAGAGATGTCATAAATTAAAAAAGCATCCGGTGCTAGTATTTTACAACGATCAGGACAATCATGGGTTACCTACATGATTTAACATATACGAACACTAATTCAATAAACCAGTGAGCACCCATACAAACACCTACAAAGAGACGCATACATAAACACACGATGACGGACTACTAATCATACATATCCCGTCAACACAATGACTAAAAAGGTACTGATTCGGTGCGAACCTTGCTCTAGCGGCCCACTTGCTGCCCTACATAGATGCAATGAGTGACAATCATCTCGCTACACATATCCTAAAGCACCGCCTCCCGCACTGTTCCCCACATTTCTCTGCTCCTGTGTTAGTGTGGTCTGACCATCCACGAGACTAGCAGCAGCAGCAGTGCCAGCGGCGCCGCCTGGAGACGCGCCGACGGGCCCGCGGAGGAGAACGCACACGCCTGGTCACTCTTCAGCGCCTTGCAATCGGCACGAGGTCCGATTCGGGCCGCGTGAGAGATCACGTGCGGGATGTAGCTTTGCTCGTGGACGCCGTGGAACAGATGCGACCACGGACCTGTCAACAGGGCACATGATGCGTCACATATAACTATGAACCTGCCAACAGGGCACAGAATACGTCACTTATGCCCACTGACCTGCCAGCAGGCCATGCAATGTCGTAAATGTCCACGAGTCTGTCTATGATTAGGATATGTGACTTTTGAGCACCTGGGCTCCAGAGGTCATCGACGCCCATAAATAAGCCTGCCAGCACTCCAAATGGAACAAAACAAATCTCATATAATTACGTTCCAATTAACACGGTGCACAATACGTCAGATACGTGACAATAAAAAGCGACGTGATAACGAAAAGCGAACAAAAAAACATGACAGTCGGCGTTATTTTATGCGACCCTGCGGTCTACGGTCACCCGGCGGCGCTTACCTGTGGCGTAGATAGCCACATCCTCTCCGCCGTGCGTCTCCTCCTTGAACTTCAGTCCGGACGGCTGCGTGTACTCCCAGGCGGTGGTGTCCACACCGTTCAGGTCGCCACGCACCACGTGCGAGCCGTTCCAGCTCACGTTCCAGTTGGGCCCGTTCGAGTAGAAGAGAGTCGTGTACGGCATGCCGTCGTCCCGGCTCTTCTCCGAGGCCCCTGTTGGAGAGACACGAAGTAGCAGGTCAATGCTCCGTCAGCGACAGTAGTCAGGCGTCACTCATATTGGATCGACAAGCACGGGCTTTGGTGGCACCACGTCGATTCAAGTGGCGATTTGGTTACATTCAGGTCGATTCGAGCCATTTCAACTCCATGGCACCCATAATCATACAATGAAAACGGACTACCAGTCGACCGCAACACTGAAGCCGGTTTTCAGAAGCACCAACGGTGGTTCATGCCCACAGCGCCACCTGGAGCAGGCACCCTCGATACACACTGCTACCTACAATATGTCCTCTCAGTACGCAGCGCCACCTACCGAGGATGTCCTTGCCGCGGACCGGGTATCCCTGGATGGTCATCACATGGCTGTGGTCGGCGGTGACGACGATCAGGGTGTCCTGGTCGGAGGTGAGCTGGTGTGCGCGCTTCACGGCCTCCTCGAACTGCAGTGTCTCGGAGAGGGAGCGGCGTGCCTTGGTGTCGTGGTGCGCGTGGTCGATCCGGCCGCCCTCCACCTGGGGCCGCGGGGTCCAGGGACAGGTCAGCCGGGCGGAGAGCGCCTCACCGACCGCACTCGGATCTATGGCTCGTCACGGACAGTTCAGTGTCCTCCCTATGATAGGTCACAAGCTGTTTAGGGTCTGTTTATGACCGGTCAGGGAACGATCACGGCCCTGTATATGTATAGTCACGCAAAGATAAGCGTCTGTGTGACATGTTGTGTTAGCTGACTCGGCACTCCGCGTCGTCAAAAACGATAAAGGGAAGAGACGATATTACACAGCAACTCGTTTTTTCACATCGTTCTCGGGTGAAAAAAAAACAGACTGAACTTTCTAAATAATTATAAGACGTAATAAATAGTTATTCGCGTATCTCACCGCGAGGAAGAAGCCTTTTTCGTTTTTGCTGAGCAGTTTGATGGCAGTCTCGGTCATTTCCACCAGACTGGGCGTCCCTCCAAGGGTCTTGTCTCGGAGGTCTTCGTAGGGCGTGTGGCTGTTCCCGAACAGACCTGTGGAGTACGAGCAGGATATATCACAACGCGGTGATTAGATCGAATTAACCTCTCCAACTGCTCCAGGTGTATGTAATTATCCAATGCTACACTAACTAGTCAATTGTCAGATCTAAAAACCATAGATCGCGGTAATTTTTAGTCCCCGTATCGCCCTGCCAGCCGCCCTTTACCCTCCCCCCCCTCCACGACTACCTCAATACCACTCCAGTTCCCATGCCTCACAGTCCATTGCTGCTCAAATTCGACAACTTCACACTCTCTCCCTAGCCACGACTCTGCATTCCGGGCCCGCTGAATCACTCTCCCTGCCCGTCAGCCGCACCGGTCCGCGGTCCGGTCTGGTCCAGTCCGGAGTTGGGTCCGGTCCGTGGTCCGGACCGACTCCGGACCGGAGCGGGGCGCTGCTCACCCATGATGTGGTCCGTCTGACTGAGGTTGACGCTGCGCAGCTCCTCAGTGGTGGCCACAAACTTGGCAGACAGGCCGGCGCTGCGCTTCTCGCTCAGCCAGTCCTGGGTCAGGTCACGGCCGTCCTGGCGCTTGCAGGCGCTCGGGTTCTCCGGCGCGAACCGCGTGTTGTTCAGGTTGGCGATCATGTTTTGACGACCGCCGCCGAAAATCACCTGAGAATGGGACAAATAAAACAATGCATGGGTGACCATTTGAGTAACTTAAGAGGTATATGTTATGCACTGCAGTGCATATGAAGAGTTGGTATCGAAATGCTAAACCAAATTTGTAACATACTACAGCTGTTATCTCACCAGTTGTTTCGTAATTATTATCATGCATCGCGCTTTACCTCATAGGTAGGTATACGAGTATCATCTATATCACGAAGACGCGAATGCGATATAACTGTATTGCGCATCAAAGTATTAATCCACACTGGTGCAATCAACCCGCCCTACCGAATTGCACACACTGTGCCACCGAGTCCATCGGTCTTTGGCGGCATGCTCTCTCACCTTAGCCAGCTTTCCGGGGGCGTTCTCGACCAGCTGGCGGGCGATGTCGACGCAGTCCCGTCCCTGCTCGCCCAGTTTCTCGTCACACTCCCAGTTACGGTGGGCAGATTTGGCGTACAGCGCCGCCGGAGTGGCGTGGGTGATACGCGTGGTGGTGACGATACCTGTCGAGAGGGGGTGTAAGAAGGGTGTGTGAGAGTGGGGAGGGGAAGGAGAGAGAGAGAGAGAGAGAGAGAGAGAGAGAGAGAGAGAGAGAGCTGGGAGAGGGAGGGAGGGAGGGAGGGTTAGAGAGAGAAAGAGAAAGAGAGAGAAGGATAGAGGAGAAAGAGAGGGAGAGAGAGAGGTGTGAGAGAGAGAGGTGAGAGAGAGAGAGAGCCAGAGAGAGAGAGAGAGAGAGAGAGAGAGAGAGAGAGAGAGAGAGAGAG